CCGTAAGTAACAAATAACATTACTTCTGTATTTGCAGTCAGTATAGACTATTTTACTATACAATGTAGACTGTTTTACTACAGCAGAGTTAAGTAGGATTTTTTTAAGGATTATTTTCTATTACAACATTCAGATTAAAAGAAAATTTTAAAAATTAATCACACTCTGATCAGTGAGGGTTAGGGGAAACAGTCCTGGCAGATGGGCTCTTCTTTCCCGTTTCTGCTGGTATTCCTTAAGCAGAGCTGACTGGGAATTCTGCGCCAAAATAGATTTTTGTTGGAAAACATCATTTTGCTGAGGTTGTGAGTGTTTTGTGAGAAAGAGGTAGAGCTGACAAATTGCACATTTTGAAAAAGAGCTATCCCACGTCAGCATTTGAGAAACACGCTATTTTGCATTTTAAAGCAACTTTCGGGACTTTTGTTTGGTAACTGAAGAACATTGTGTTAAGCGTTATTACCAAGTTTTACATTCCCTTGTCTACTTTTGCCTGATTCTTTGCTCCTTCCGTTTATTACCAACCGCTCCCCGAGGTGATGTGCCCAGACGTCATTTACGTGGATATTGAGGTTGAGGGGTTACAGATTTACCGCTGCACGGACTTGCTACGTCTTGGGTAGGAATTTGTTTGGCATATTTGATCGCGGCCTTTTAGTTAAACAGGAACATGCCCTGATTTTAACAATTGCAGTTTCCTGTAGTCGGAGGAAGGTGCGGCCGATGGCATTTAAACCGAAACCTGAGCCAAGGCTTCACCAGCAGGAAGCTGAGAGTGCGGGTAGCACCACGAGGGTTTCATTCGTCATTAAAATGACCAAGGACCTTCCTCAGTGGATGGCTGAGGTTATTTTATCACCCACAATACCAATAATCACATGCATGAGGGTTAGAGTTTTGTAACATCAGACTTCATATGTTATTGCTATTAAGGTCACTGTAGCATGACAGCAGAAAATAGCCCAGGAGACGCCAGAGAAGTGAGGATGCACCTTCACCTAGTCTGGCATATAAACAGTTGGAGTCAGCCGTTAGGTCACCCCTCGCTTTGGAATGGATATTTCACTACCATGTGCACAGGGAGACTCATCTCCCCTGCCTCCGACATGGCTGTGGATTATTTCCAGTTACCAAGCTGCTTGCTAGCCCAGGACTTTGCTCCTTTACTCAGTTCTTACAAAACAAAAGTTGTGCCTCCTGCTTTTAGACAGAGTTTGGAGGAAACAGGAAAAAAAAATTAAAAAGCGCCTAGATTTCTACTGTGGAATCACAGCTTCTAGTTCCTTACTTCAGCTCACAGAAAATGCCAAAGCCTGCCCAACATTTAACTGACTCAACTGTGTGAGAAGACGACTTTATTTTTTTGGGCTTCATTATTCAGTTCTGAGTGCTGAAGCTTTCCGTTGTGCCATGTTTTAGTGCAGCGCCGCTTTGAGTCTTCTTGGGAGCCTGAGTGCCACCATAAAGTAAATACTTACAGTCAGGTAAAGGTAGAAATGTTCTACGGCTGGTGATTTTCAAACCATAAAATAAATGCTGCCGTTCTCCTGAAAGCAACCAAAAAGATATAATTTGAAATAAATCAAAGCTTCACTTTACTTTCTTAATATACCGCAAGACTGACGAAATCGCTGTGAGCTGAAAGCACCACTCAACTGTCCCCTTTCTGAGCTTCCAAGTCTTTTATCTTGCTCCAGTGCTGTACGCAATCGTGTTCAGAGCTTTGTCAGGTCTCACGGGTCCAGCGAGATGGCCTCTGTCTCGTCTGCACATTACCAGCGTGTTGTACATCAGCTACACGCTGACAGAGAAAACGGGGAATGCAGAAAATCCGCTCTGACCTTGCACGTTGGTGGAGCTTCTGAGATAACTCAGGGGTAACTGAAACCAGCACAGGCAGCTTACCATCGCAGAAAACACTGGCCTACTTTAGTGAGCATCACTGCTGGGTGACTCATTTAAGTAGCTGTAGCGCTCTGACAATTTTACCTTCATTAACTGAAGTGGTTAATGCTTGCAGCTTTGGCCACAAAGCCTATATGGAAGGCTTGAAGTCCCAAGGGTTTGATTGCATAAGAAACCATGTCTTGGGGCATACAGTTGATCAAGCACTACTTCTTTTGGTCACATGGAGGCTCGATTTCCCCTTGCATCATCTACAACAGACCTTTTACATTTCTTGTACTGGTGTCTGACTGTTCAATCGCAAGGGTCATCCCCCTCACCCCACGCTGGGAGCCTGTGCTGCTTTCCCAGGTCCCTGGCTCAAAGGAGCTTTTTCATTTTTTTTTTTTGCAGAATCATATCTGAGAAACCAGGAGCTTGCAATTCTTCTCATTTGTGTCTGTGCGTAACAGGTGTCATTTTCAGTGTAGTACAGACAAATCCCAAAATAGCTCAGGCTCTTCAGATGCTGCAAAGAGAAAAAATAGTGGGTTACTTCAGCTTCGGTTGTAGTGAAAAACCCAAAGCTTGCAGCCAGCTCTGAAGTCCAGAATTAAAATGGCAGATGTAGCTGTGTAGTAGTGATCTCTCTCTCGATTTGGTGTTTCTCAAATGAACTGCTGGCTCTCTCTCGCCCTTGTGTGTACACGGACTGACGCATGAACTCCCTCATACCGAGCTGGCTCTCCATTAGCTTCTCTTTGATTCCCAGATGCTGTATCTACCACTGATCCTCCTCCGCATTTTCCGGATTTGAGGCTACAAGCCGGGAGAGCACTGCTTCCCTGCCTGGTGCTGAAGCCGACTGGAGGCACCGGAGTTCATGCAAAGGGGCAGAGGCAGCGGGACAGTGTCCATCTGCAAAGTGTTTCTTGCCTGGTGATGCCGGCTGTGCTGAAATACACGGCTGTTTGTGGACTTGAACTGAGATTATTGGATTCTAGTGACTCCAGGAACTCAGTTATTAGTTCCCCTGCCTACTGTGAGCATTTTGAACCTGTGTGTGTGATAACACTTATTAATACTGTTCAGATTAAGAAGAGCCTACAGCTTTCCAGCACTGTCAGTACCTTATCTCACATCATCTGAACCACATCCAGATCAATGCCTTGTGGCCAGCACAGCAGGGTCTTGCGGGCCCAGCAGTAGCCTCACGCTTTTATGCCCAAAAGACCCCTGTTCGTTCACAGGAGCAGTTCCTTTTAAGCTGGTTTGTGCTTCAGGGTAGCTGCCTGCTGAGTATTTGCAAGACGTAGGCCTAAAATATTTTATTTTAGGAAGTCAAGTAGTGGTTCCTGTCACCGAAACAGTTAATCAAAAAGCACTAACTCTCGACTGGAACGTGTGTGCGTGCGTGTGTGTGTGTGTGTTTTTGTTTTTTAGAGCCAAGAAGATTTGCTTTGGTTTTTTTAAAGCAGAAACCACCACAAAGTTGGCTGTGGTTTCAGCTGCGCTTGTTCGAGATTTGTATTGCTGACTACCAATCCTAAAAGAGTTAACCTAGTAAGTATGACTCAGAAGCAGAGAAGGAGATGCGAGGCTGAGAGCCTTGGAGGAAGCACAGAAACAGAGGTGAGGAACATAATAATTACCAAAAAAAGGTGCAGAGTCCAGGAGCGACGTTCCCCTCGGTTTGCCTGGCCCTGGCACCGCTGGCACGGGCTCCCTGGAAAGCTGCAGTTCCGCTCTTATAACACAGGGAGCAGGCTGGAGAATTTAGAGCTGCGTCACAGAGCTCAGCGAGAGAGTGAGAGAGCAAGCTCCGTCGATAGGTCTACCAGCAACAGCCCTGCTGCAGCAAGAGGGGAGAGAGGCAGCAAGAGAAGCAGAGAGGGCTCCGCAAAGAGAAGTAACACCAACACCAGGGACTGGGCTCCTGCAACTCTCCAGTGTCATTTAAAGATTGTATTTGGGCTTGGTTGGCGTAGGAGGCTTCGCCCATTGACGATGCTGGAGACCCGCCGCGCTTAATCCCACGGGGAGGGAGAGTGGGCAGATACCGAAAGGGTTAACGGAAAGGAAATTTCTGGAACCTTCTATTCTGCGGCGCTAGACAGCGAGCGGAGGGCTGAGGACTGCGCAGATGGTGCACGGGCAGAGCTCTTCGGTCCGGTTCGTCTTTCCCACGTACGTACCCTTTGATCAGGATGGGGCTTGAGCTGCATCTACGTATTTTAATTATTTGCAGGGCGACCCTCTCTCCTGGCGTCCCTAAGTTCGGATCCCAAAGTGCCTTTATTATTATTTTGGCTGGGTATGATTGCTCTGTTCTGCGTCAGAGCTGTTTTCTCAATGGAACGATGGCACAGGTTGTACTAATATCACTCTTGCCGGCATTGCTGTGCTGCAGAGGAGGGTAGTAGTCGTGGGGGAGAGATGACAACTTTGCAAAAATTGCTGTTTTCGTGTTTTGTTTGGGCTTTTTATTTCCTCCCTGTCTCTCTGAAGGCTGGCATGTTGGCGAGGGTTTGGTGGAGGGGTTAACAGGCGCTCTGCGTTTCCCAGCTCGGAGGTTCGTCACTGCGTAGTTGGGAAAGTGGCGAACGGTGACGCAGTGATCATTGCAGGGCATGTCGGCCAGTTTTTTTTTTTTAAAAAAAGCAACTGGGGGGGACAGGTAAAGACGGGGTTGCCTTCCAGACACTTCCATACCAAGCTGAAAAGGGTTAAAGGATGAGTCGAGACGGGGAAGCTAGCATTTAGGGATTAAATGTCATCATTTTGGCGTTGGAAAGTTGTTTACCTTGCGCTCTCCGTGTCTCCATGCTGGCAGCCGGCCAGCTCCCATGTGATAGTCTTCCCTGTACTGCTGCATCATTAACTAAGTGGCAGAGCCGGCTCCCCATTGGCCGGGGAGGGCTCTCAGCCCAAAGCCACCATCCGATTGGTGGAGGAAAGGATGGCAGGTGAAAAGCTCTATCCGATTGGTCGAGGACAGGGTGTCAAATCTCAACGTTGATTTCACTTGCTTCAAAGTGCCGGCAGCTCCCTGCCCGCTCCCTGCTCCGGCTGCCTGGCACCCCGAGGGGCAGGGGCTGCGGGCAGGATCGCCGCGGTTAACTCCTCGGACCCCGCACCCCTGGGTGCCCCGGGTGCCGGGGAGGTTTCACTTTGCAGATGATGTGTCGGAGCTGCAAACCACGGGGAAGAGGAAGGTCCGGGGGGTTCGGGGCTGTTCTCGCTGGCGTGCTTTCCTCCTGCTCCCTTATAAGGTGGTTAAGGGTGAGCAGGGCTGTAAAATGCTTGGGGCAGGGATTGCACCCGGAAATTATATCGTGGGAATAATGAAAGAAGCGAAAAATATTTCTTGCCCAAACTCAGCTTTTGTTTGCATAAGCGTGAGGTTGCCACAGGCTCGGTAGCATCAGGGAGAGCTGAAGCCAGCCCTAAAGGTTTGCAAAAGAAAGAACAGCGTTAGAAAGCAGGGACAGAAGCACTGGGAAGGCCTGGGTAAGGATAAACGGGAAACTGAAGGCAGAGAGCAGCTTCAGAGAGAGAACAAGCAAATGAAGGGGAGAACATTTTTCTCTCTTAACCATTTACTCTACTATTTTTTCACCTCTCTTCTTAAAGCGACCAGCAATGAAGATGGCAGCTCTGCCTGGAAGTGCTGAGGACACAACCAGCTTTGAGCTTGGTCCTTCTGGCCGAGGAAGTCTCCCGATTATGCAGTGGAGTGGTAACTTTGCTTTCTCATACGGCAGGGTACATTATTCCATAGCCTTTCATCATTCCGAGGTCTAAACCAGTTTAAGGATATGGTAGCATAAGCATTTCATCTATATTACTCACTCGCTGGCATCTCAAGCGTCAGGTCCGGTTGTTTAGCAACAACCGCTGGGTTCAGAACCGGCTCAAACATACCGCATCCGCCGTCTCCATTCCTTCAGCAGCGGCCCGTCGTCTGCACGGCAGTCTGAGAGAGAGGGAGAGAGAAAGGGGCTGTATTTACACGCATACACCCACCCCAACCGAATTTTGGTTGTTTGGTTACGAAGGCCACAGGCGCTGCGGTTTTATCCCCGGCTCCATCCCTTTGCGCAGTACCGTAGAGGGGAGGGAGCCATTTCCAACGGCAGTGCAGAGGTAGGAACAGGGAGGGAAGACGAAAACAGAGAGTAGGCGCCACTCCCCACTTTTTTCCCCTCTTTCCCATCTCCACCTTCCTTGCCTTCCCTCCTTTTCTGCCAGATTCCATAGGGAATTTCATCCTCTTACTGCAGTCGTCACAACCCCTCCTGACTCACTGAGCCTTCGCTGGCTGGAGCTGCCTCCCTTGGAGCATCCTTGCCTCCTGCAGCGCCAGTTCCGCAGAGCAGGGGAACAACAGGAATAGCAGCAACAACAGTGGTCCCTGCAGCGAGACGGACAGGCATAAATACACACACATATAGGAGCAGTACGAGGCAGCCGCGGAGGTAATTCTGTGCTGCCAGGAGCCGGACTAAGAAACGATGCTCGGTTGCATGGAAGATGGGTGGGTTAAGCCTGTTTTGCTGAGTGCTGTCGGAACGGACAACCCTTTGCATTTCTTCCCCATCACGGTTGTGGGGTGGAGGACCCCGTTAATTTGCAAAGCTAGTGCTTCTTCATGGCATTTGTCAGTCCTCCGAAAGGAGATGCAACTGGCACCCGGTGTATGTGCTCAGGCTTATGTGTATCGAATGTTCAGCGCAGGGATGCATTTGGTTTTATTCCTTTTGCTACCCCCTTTTTGCCACAGCGATCATTTAATTGCGACTAAATGCAGGGAGGGTAAGGAGACAGAGATAAAAGAGGAGTTATTTCAATGTTATACTTCATCTGTAAATCTCATTACTCAGGAATTGAGGTTACTGTCGGCAGGTAAATCTGTAGGACTAGCAAGAAACAAGGCTAAGAAGGGGACACGGCATACTTCTGTAGGACGGTAGCGAATTTGCGCATAGGGATGGTATAGTTGCTGTATGTTAGCTGTACATGGCTAACTGTTCCATAACGGTTTTCTGCATATTGCTGCAAAAGGACTTGGGAAAGCTGTGATTTCTTCCTCCCTCTGACACTTGTGTGTGTGACACTGTGTAAGCTGATTCATTTTTCTGTATTTTGGTTTCCTTCCTTTGTAAAGGGGGGTTTATTATATCTCCCAGCCTTAGTGCAGCATTATGACGCAGTGTTTGTTAGTGCGCTGGGTCTGTTGGCAAAATACATGCAATTTTGTTGGGAGTTTTGACTGTTCAAGGACTGCAAAATTTGGTAAAGGAAGTTAAGGATTGCAAACGCTCATGACATAAATTTAAAAGCATTACCATCTGATTCTTCTTTGAGATCGAAGGAAGGCTCTCTGAATGACAAGGCAGCCATGATCTCTTTCTGCACTTGTTTTGCCGATGGTCATGTTACATCTGTGACGCAGTCCGATTTTGCTGTTCGTTCCTGTCTGTGCTTTACAGAGTTGAGCTGATAAGGGCACAAGCTTGAATACGGTTAGAGACATTAATTTAATATTGATGTTAGAGTTTGCAACCATACCTGAAATGGCAGGGATATCGGCATCCCCCTATTTCACCGCCCAGAAACGGTGAAGGAATCCGAATGAACACGACAGCACCCCTAGCCATTTTGTTGCTCGCAGAGTAGACTCTAAGCCTGCAGCACTGCTGCTGCTGCTGTTAATTTCCATGTCATACAAATACAGCGTTGGGCTCTGTGTCAGGAGCTTTACTGATGCTGTGAGAAGCTTAAAGTCTACAAGCAAATGTTTTTCTTTTCTTATTTGGGAAAACTCATTAAAATGTCCAAATGCCAAGTATGCTACCCTGACTCCTCTCACAAATCACTTCCAGACCTATCCAGAAAATTCACTGCTGCCGTGTATTTTTTCTAGAACTTGTTCACAGTGTTTTCCTACGGTTTAATATGGGTGTGGCTGGGGGGGGAAGGATAAGATTTAAGTCGGTTAAGTATCTGTATCGCTGATGCTAATAGACAGAGATGTAGGCAAGAGATATGAGTTGCCCATATCCTCCGTGTATCTATATAGAGATATAGACAGTCCAAGCCTAGGTTCTGAAACAAGAAGGGAGTACTCTGTTCTGTTCTCACCCACCCGAAAGTTTTTGGTGCAAAGGCAGCAGCAGAAAAGGCCAACGTGGGAATCTCACAAAATGGTTTCAACAGCATTCAGAGATGCCAGTGCCGTTTAAACTGGCACGGCTCCGAGAGAGGTACTGTGAGCTGCCTGCTGCAAGGTCATTCCCCTGACTCATTGTCAGCGACCAGTTGGTTCAGGAACTCCCAGTCCACATTTCTTGCAACTGTGGCAGTGCTTCAGTCCTGAACCTGGAGTTGAGGCTTGAAAATTAATGCTACTGCCGTAGCGGGCCACTGAGTCCAAAACTGTAGATCCAAAAAATCCTGCATCTCTCAAGCATTTTAAAATCCCTAGCTATAATTTTTCTTGAGCTAACTACAAAAACTTTGCACTAGTTCCCTCATCCCCTTTTCCCCTGAGACTTCCTCTGGACTGCTGGGAATCAGGAGTGGCATGTATTTAAGGACTAGGGATCAACTTACACTGTGTTTTGGAAAAAAAAACGTGTCCGCATGTATTTGCATTTCTGTTCCTGTAGTCTTTATCAGGTGGACTCTGCAGGCTGCTCTAAGTCCACTGGTGTCTGTCAAGCTCACGGTGTCTCTCGTGCTTTCAGTTTCAGGTACCTCAGCTCAATACCTGGCTTGTCCCCTCCCAGGTTCCCACATTCTTCCCCACTGTTCCTATTTGTCTATGTCACTCGTATTTTCAGTTGATTCAGGGATGGATACGTTAGGGCTGGCTCTGGTCTTCTCAGGCAGCAGTAGAGTGGTTAATGCCTCAAGAATCTTGAGCAAAATTTCTTATTTTGTCCCCATCTTTGCAATAACGATATCCAACTTGGGGGCACGTTATCTAGCTCCTTTTGAACAGACAGGATCCCTCCTACTAGCCTCCCTGCCTGTTTTGCTAGCCTGCCTCCCCAAGCCTCCCGCCCTGGGCAGCCTCCTGCCCGGACCGTGCACAAAGTAAGCCTTAGCCTGCGGTATCATCATTCTCTGGTTTTCAAAGGTAAAGAGCCTGGCTGCTAATCCTGATGCCAGTGACGACTCTTCGCCTACAGGGAGGCATATGTGATAGCTTGTCTGCTAAAAACTGAGCCAACACAGTGTGATTCAGACCTGAAGCTTTCCAAGGAAGAGAGCTATTTCTGAGTTAAGCACATCTCTTCAGCTCCCCACACAAACACTCTTTATCCAGTGCAAATGGTGCATAGTAGGTGTCCATCAGCAGCCACTGCGTTTGTATTTGGATATACAGCTCAAATGCTTCTTAAACATCGAGGATGGCTCTCAAACATACAGTGAAGTTTGAGTGATAGAATGATGGAAATCCTGGGAAGAGCTGGGAACAGCTCACATGCTCGGGGGACTCAGCCTGAGTTTGATCAATGCTTTTCTCCAGCTTTTTTGACAGGTCCTTCTACTGCAGACAGTGTTAAGATACGGCAGGGTACAGAAGGCATGTTGTCAAATGTCCAGTTTAAGGGCAGGTTATACTTCAGGGAACATCTGGCAGTATTTGTTTCCTTATGCTCTTCACTGGCACAGAACATTTGTCTCTTGAACGACACAAAGAAAAAGATGACTTCCCTTGACATTACATAAAGTAGCTGGAATGGCAGTGTTGGGGGAACACCGTGTTCCTGAACTGACTAGGCAAATCACAACAATCATCTCCCTGTGCCTGCTTTCAAGACCTGCAATCAATACTTTACATTCTAAGGTGATGCTTAGGTACAGAAGTTAGGAACAGAAAATTACTTTTCTGGTTTCAGCTACTGTGGTGGGTAATTTTTTTAGCGTAATTAGTTTTGTAATGTGCTGTTCAGTCAAGCTGTGCATGGCTAAAATGTGATGAGTTTTCACTGCTGCACTGTCCTGCTGCTCTTCCCTGACCTAGCTAGTGTAAGTGCAACCCTCTTCTTCCCCTGTGTAAGTTTGCCCGGTTTCACCTCATTGTGAAATCTGAAATCCTCCACAGGATTCAGTGGTTCAGCTTTTTTCCCTCCAAACAGGCTGTGGTTTTGCCTAGGAAAGGCAAAAAAGTGAAAGCAAAAGTGGAAGACTCCAGGCAAGACAAAGCAATTTCAGATGAGCAGACGGGAATCACAAGATTAGAAATGGTAGCCCTAACATCTAGCACTCCTAGAACGGTCACCATGCTAAAAGCGACCCTTCCGTTCAGAACAGCTTTGGGGCAAATAGCAAATAAGAGTTACACTTTACTTAACAGTCTGAAACAAAGTTCTGGGGTTTAAAAAAAAAAAAAAAGTCCTGTGAATAAATCCTACTTAGTTTAGTGATGCTGTGCTGTTAGAATCCTGATTGGCACCAAACCAACGCTGGGAACGAGCTCTATCGAAACTGCCTCAAAGCAGCAAGAGTTAACCACACACGAGCGTGCCTCCAGGGAGGCCACCAAGCAAGGAGAAAAGGTTAAGATGCACCTCTCAGACCTCATCACAAGCCAAATTTCAGCCATCGCAGACACCACCTATCACCTGTCCGGCCCTAAATTATCTGGAAAAGCTGCTTCTCCCTAGGTTAAACAAATAAGAACCTGGCTCTCCCCTCACTCCAAACCCTTCAACAACTGGACCATTTTAAAAAATGGGTTAGAATGATAGGCAGCGTGGTGACAGTTCAGCACAGTTAGACAAATGCTGGTGAGTGCTCTGACAGATTACCCTTAATAGGAATTGAAATCAGGGACTCAAACGGCAAGCAGGACTGCCTGTCCCATTCCTCAAACAGAGCTAAATGGGACAAAAGGCTCCACAGGCTTTTACCCACAGCACGCCCCAGTCGGGTGTTCAGCCTGCCTTGGGTTTTTGGGGGTGT